AAATTCCATGCTATACTGTATTGAACTTGTTATAGATTAACTTGATGAAAATCCATACGGATTCATTGAAGACCAGTCAATGATTATTATGCGTTGAATTCTCAGATAACTTATAACAAATTGGTTAGTGGTAATTAGCACGGTATGCAGCACTTTCAGAGGAAAAATCCGTCACTTGAATGATTATTATTGGAATATGTGCTTTACTACTTTGGATTCGGGAATTGATGCCAAGTTTCGAATGATCATAAGAAGTGCAGATAGTTTTTCAAATATGCATTATATTTGGCGAATTGGGTTTAGAGAGGAAAAAGGCCAAATTTCTGGGGATGGCTTGCTGGGATCACAGGAGAATTTTAAAACGCAGTGCTATGACTTTTCCAATAATGCCACTATGTCTTATTTAAATTTTATTGAAAATTGCTTTAGATGTTTATCGGCAAAATGTGTTTCTACTTCGTATACAAACCCCTACTCGATAATTCCTAGCAGTTTCCATTTATGACATGCACGTAAACCTTCCGAACTGCGAAAAAACGTCGTATTATTATGAAGAATTTTCTTCGTTCCCTGGGGTCTTGCGAGAAACTAGGGTATTGTTTTGTCGTGGTTAAAAAGGGAAAAGAGTGTACCGTATAGGGCTTCTCCAAACTCTGGTTTCGACATATTGAGGGACTCGTTCTTGGTGTCTCCGGGGTTGACGCAAGTGTTGTCCTCATATATATATATAGATAAATAGATATCTTTTTTTCTATCCTTCCGCTTTATTTAGTTTTTGGGGCCGGCCCCGCAGGGCATGACGTCACCCCTGTCTAAGAGGTTGTATTTCGTTATTACATTGCGAGTGCGCCAAAGCGGCAGCCTTGGGTTGCATCACAAGCGGAGTATCTTTCACTTCCGTCGGCGGCCATGTCAGGAGGGGAGCCCGAGAGAAACAAAAGCAAAGAGCGAAAAAAAAAAAAAAAACAGAAGGGCCGGCCAGGGTTCGTTTCGCAAGACGCGGCCTTGGGGTTCGGCGTAATATTTCACGCGCGCTGCTCCGCCTGCGTGTGCATGCGCTGGAATTTTCCGTTTTTTTTTATTTAATAAATATTCTCTGTACACATTTTTCACTCGACTTCCCTCCACCCCCCCCCCCTCTCAACCTGCCCTGAAAAGTCCTTTGCGAATAACAACAAGAAGAAATAAACTAGAGCCTGGAAAAATAAATTTTACATTTTCCCCCCTCCCCCGTCAGCATCACGATCCGAGACAAGCATCAATTACGCATTTCGCGGTTGATCATAAAAGTACGTACGCCAAGAGGGCTCTCTTTTGGGCTCGACATTTAAGGGGAGCCCGCTAAAAATTTTATTACTGCCCCTTTTTCGTTGCTTTTTGGCAAACTAGAGGCCATGGAACGAACTACATTGAACAAAAAAGCTACGGTAGCGAAATTATTGCGACAATAAAATCAAAATCCTGTTCGGAATGCGCTGTTATACGTAGCCCAAAACCGCTGACCCACTTGCATACATTTTTTAAATTCACAAATGATGGCCGACATATGCGCAAAATCGAGACCAAATGGCGTCAAGTTGCCAATACATCATTAATTTCATTCGAAATATTACTAGCTCTGTCGAATATTCCAGCATTTCCACGAAAAAAACGAGTATTTCCATTATTTAGGCACAAAAAATTCTTCAAAACGATGATTTTGATGAACACAAAAATTACCGACTATATGCACAGATGATTTTCTCGTGGGATAACTGCTTGAACTTCAGCTTATGTACTTTAAATTATACTAACTATTGAATGAAGCATTATCTGTCTGAAAATTTCTTCGTTCATTCGTACGGTGAACAAATAATTGTCGAAAAATTCGATAGAGACATCCTACAGATCTGCACCAGTGATTCAATAAAACTTGAATTCTGTTGCGGTCTGGGTTTTACACGAATATTGACATCAGCTTGCTGTGAACCGTCAGGTTTTTGAACTAACTCAATGTCCAAAATTGAAAAAGGGCAATATTTCTATCCAGGTGGAGAATGGGTTCATGAGCGTAAAAGTGCCATCAAGTTTTTGCAAGCAAAAGTTAACTCCAGGTTCGTTCGCAAGGTTATTCATGCATGCGGTTCTCCCGAGAGAAAACCCGAGCTGTAAATTCCCCTCGGGCGATTTTTAAAATAATGACGGGGAAAAAGCAACGAAAAACCGTTTGATCTCCGGTACCTTGCTTGATGTAACTTTAAAAAAGCTACGGTATCGAAATTATTGCGACAATCAAATCAAAATCCTGTTCGGAATGCGCTGTTATACGTAGCCCAAAACTGCTGACCCACTTGCATACATTTCTTAAATTTACAAATGATGACTCACATATGCGCAAAATCGAGAGCAAATGGCCAAAAGTTGACAATACATCATGAATTTCATTAGAAATATTACTAGCTCTGTCGAATATTCCAGTATTTTCCACGAAAAAAAAAACGAGTATTTCCATTATTGAGGCACAAAAAATTCTTCAAAACGATGATTTGATGAGCACAAAAATTATCGACTATGCACAGATTATTTTCTCGTGGGATAACTGCTTGAACTTCAGCTTATGTACTTTAAATTATACTAACTATTGAATGAAGCTTTATCTGTCTGAAAAATTCTTCGTTCATTCGTATGGTGAACAAATAATTGTCGAACAATTCTATAGAGAAATTCTACAGATCTGCACCAGTGATTCAATAAAACTTGAATTCTGTTGAGGTCTGGGTTTTACACGAATATTGACATCAGCTTGCTGTGAACCGTCAGGTTTTTCAACTAACTCAATGTCCAAAATTGAAAAAGGGCAATATTTCTATCCAGGTGGAGAATGGGTTCATGAGCGTAAAAGTGCCATCAAGTTTTTGCAAGCAAAAGTTAACTCCAGGTTCGTTCGCAAGGTTGCCCTTATTTGCTCGTAAAAAAATTTATGGAAAAAAAAAAACAAGGAAATACCCGGAAGTGCGACCCAACTAATCCAAAAGTAAATTTTACTGCGAATCACGAAACTTCTTCCTGCTTACGCTCGTTAAAGGTTATAATTTGAAAAATGGATCAAAATCAACTATGAAAGGTGACAATTGTATGGCAGCTCTTTGGTTGAGGTAACGATTATTTAAAAAAAGTGAAAGTTTTCCAGAGTCAGTCATGAAGTGAACGAAGTAACTGGATCAAATTATATTTTAGCAATTTCACACAAGTTGACGCGACATAGTTTAGTCTCAAAATTAAAAAAAATGATTCAAGAATAACATAGCGTTAGCTGCTGATGTAAGTCCTAGACTTGGACCTGGGGTTGGCGTAAAATTTGAAGGCTTTTTTGTGCGGAATATCTGCGAGAAAAATATGCAGCTGACAGTAGTGAATACTTTTCTCCAATGAAAGCTCGACATCTGACCACTCAAGTTTTAACGGAGATTTCAACTTGTGACCACGACGAAAATGTGCTTGGAAATTTTCTCAAATATGGCGAATTACGGATACAGTAAATGCATATCGTTTAACCGTTTTTTTTAGATCTTGAATCCATTTTCCCAACTTCTAAAAATGTTACGCGATCTGTAGAAGATTCGTGCATAAATGTGCAAAAGCCCACGGAGAAAAGCGTCTAAATTGGCCGCCGGAATTTTAGCTCAATAAAAATCCCGGACTCTCGATACATAAAACAGCATAACTATAGTTTGCGAAAAACGAAAGAGAGCAGATGAATTGAACTCCTCTGCACTTCCGAGCCGAAACAGGAAGTACTTCATGGCAGAGCAAATACCGTTTAAAGCCTCGCCACAGCTTTCTCTTCTGTGCACTTTCACAGTCGTTTACGACCTCGGCTTCAAATTCATCAGGCAAATAAGAAAAAAAAATCTTGAAAAAATATTATACCGTCTACCATCTAGTAATTCATTGCGGTTACAGATCCAGCTAATTTACCTCCGTTACGTCAGTCAAACAGCATGAAAGGGAATTACTCGCAATTCTCTTCGTGCTTTCGCTATATTAATATTTTATCTAAAAAGTTATTCAATACAACTTGAATTTCCGAAGACATAATATTGCAAAAAATTGAATTATGACGCGGTCCTTTTCATGCGATTGAAAGATTAAAAAAGCAGAAATACTGTACCGACTAAAGTGTAAGAAAAGTTACCTTGTCTAATTACTGGAATAAAAGATTCATTTGTCAGCATAATTAAGTCGAATAATACCAAAACTCTTTTTCAATAACTGGAATCATTTGACCAAAATTCGCGTCGAGTCTGATTCCATAGATCAGGTTTTGAAAAATCGAAGCCTGTATATAGCGAGAAAAATTATTCGATCATTCATTAATCCTCAGCATTATGAAATAATGAATCAACAATTGGACACAAGTTTATGTCCGCATAGCCGGAGGTATATACAAGATTATAATTCCAAACATCCGCGATTCGATCGTTAACTGTCTAAATTTAAATTTATATGGAGGAAACGAAAACGGAGACCTCTTTACCGCAGAATTTTGAATTTGAATCAACTTGATGAAATAATTGCTTTGGGAATACAAGTGTATTTTATGCTTCAAGATTTAGCGGAATTCTCAAAATTAGTGATGTATATTAGGTCATTCTTGCCATTCATCTTACTTTTGGTATTAACTTTCAAGAGTTTTACCGCAGCTCTTCATTTGATCATCTGGACAAGGTTCGGAAAACCAGAGTTCTGCTGCATTTTACAATGTATTTTTCCTGGAATCCAATTTTTACCATGTTTTTATGAACTCACTTTCTTGTCTGAGATGCGCACCACGTTTAAGGTTATTTTTTGCTTTTTGAAAACGTGGTCTTTTAGATTAATTTTTTAATCTACTATAATTTACAATGTATTTTTCGTGGAATCCAATTTTTTTTGGGAATAGGCTGCCGGAATTTTTGGCGTTTTTTGTCTTCTGCTCAAAGCACTTTTTCGTCATCGTCTTTCCCTTTCATTTGTTCAGCTTATTCATTAATAACAAGTTCTTTCGCTCTCCCTTTCGCCCTGTCTCGCCCTAGCCCATGAAATACATTTGAACGAATATTTGCTGGTATTGAATTTTTGGGAATATTTTGCCAATATTTTTGCGCTGATTCCAGTGCTCGAAGCACTTTTTCGTTATGCTCTTCTCCCCTTATCTGTTCAGTTCATTTAATATCAAGTTCCACCGCTCATTCCTTCACCTTGTCTCGCCTTAACCAAAGTTATGCTAAATTTTATAATATACAGCAGTAGAATCTCGTTAAAACTAAGCGTTTGAGACCTTTAACAAAAGCCTCGCTACAAACGAAAATTTGTTAAGAATAAAAATTGAAATATCAGTACGGCTATTTTAGACAGGGACCGAGAAAACAAATTCGTTGAAAATGTTCAATTCTTTTTACCGAGATTATAATGTACAGTATTATTTTGTGTTGCTCCGAATTTTTAGGAATAGTTCGCCCGCATTTCCGCGTTTGAGTCAACTGCTCATGGCACTTTTCCTTATACAATACAGTACTCGTTTCTCAGTTTATTTACTGGAGTATATCATGTTGCCTCGCTCTTTCTCTCTTTCGCCCTGTCTGACTCGCCTTCTCTCTCCCCCTCCTCCTCCTCAAGGGAATTACCATACGGTATAGTGGAAAGTACATTGCAGTACTGGTGGTGGTGGTGGAGGGTTCTCTACTGTACCAATCGACCCGTAGACAGCTAGAGGCAAGAAAGAACAACAAGTGAACTCACTGGGCTTGACCTGGCAGCCGGCACGCCCAGCCACGTTCTCCCACTCGCAGACGCCGGTGTACTCGTTGAAGTGGAGTTCCCCGTCGCAGGTGTAGGTCTGGTGCACTCCTCCGACGCACAGGTAGAACACGTTGCACACGGACGGGTCCTCGTGGGCAAAGATCCCGTTCATCCTGGGGCACTCCAGGCTGCCCGAAGTCGGCGGCTCTGACGACGGCAACAATAATAACGGCGACGAAAGGGAAAACAAGAGATCGACATTGCGAATCAATTCATCCTGTCACTGTACTGTACACTGTATTACTAAGTCAAGCATTTCCAAGTCGAATTTCAAGGGACAAGAAGAAAAAAAAAACATTGTCTGAGGGAGGATTTGAGTTAAAAGGAACACGCGTTTTTGTTGTGGGAAATGTAAAGGAATTGCAGGGAATTTTAAATGGTGATATTCTGAGACTTAAATGGTGTCTTAAATGACTCAAAACAAATCACGTTACTTATTTTTATAGCTTTTCTCTTTCCCGTGTCAAGAAAATAGTAACCAAAAGGACTAGAAAAAAGTCGAGTTACCGAGTTTTTGGAGGAAAAGCCTTTGAGCTAGGTAGGTCTTAAATTCATAGTATCTAAGGGAAGTTAGATGGGGACTTGAAGAACAAATTTAAATCCATAGGTATTTGACTTATTAGACAGGTTCAAGTTATTAAGGTTCAGCTGAACTACACTACAATGGTATTAATGTAAAAGCTGGAAGTGCCCAACCACACCTTGGCAGCAACATTTTTCATAATTTTCATTAAGTTTGAATTTTTCATCGATCACAATCGAAATTTTCTCATGAGCAAATTTTTTTTTATCAAAACACACATGAGGAAGTCTCAAGCATTATGCTGGCTGGGAGTGCCCATGCACCCATACCTGGACATTATTGAAAACATTTCAGTAGGCTCTGAAAAATTTGCACTGGAAAAAAGCATATTACATGCCCATCCATCCTTGGCATTATTTTTAAAGTTTTACAAAGATTGTGAAAAATGTTTATGTTGAGGATATTTTTAAAGAAACTGGTTAATTGTGCTCAATGCACCACTTGTGACCCTGTGAGTCCTTTCTGTCTCATAAAAGTAGGTCTTATATTTTTTGAACTGCGAAATCCAAGTCTTATATGTATAATAGAGCAACACACACTCTCTCTGCCAACATATTAATTAATTTATTTATAAATTTGTATTTATTTTGCGGAACAACTGCCGATCAAAAACTGAATCGTACTCCAGTTCAAACCCTACCTTTCCAGAATAAAAAATAAAAAAATACAGGCGGACTCTCTCTACAACAAAATTTAAAGGATCAGAAAAAGTTTCTTTGAAAGATAAATTTTGTTGCAGAGAACCCTTATAACATGAGCAGAGATCCCTATATGAGACCTCAAACAAATCAATATACTGTTCCGAAAAAATCATTCTAGACATGGTTCTTGTGGAGAGTTCACCAGTACATGTACTTTAAACATATACAAGTTCGAGTATGCTTTTGCTCTCTTTCGTCATTCGTCAAGAGCTGTGTAAATATGATTTTCTTTCAATAAGGCGGACTCTTTAAAACACACTCTGTGGGTCAAAAGTACAAATCCTCATAAACATTTTTTTGTAACGGGACAGCCACTGAATTGACAGCAAAAACAGTTTAAATACGTGTGAAATTGCTGCTGTTGAATAATAGAAAAAAATCAAGTTGGTTTTCATGAAGTTTGTCCGTGCGAAAGAGAGACCAGCATTTGTAAATTACTTGAAAATGTTCCACGTTCGCCCAAAAAAACCCATATTCACTCGCACACGACCTAGACTCTATTCGAAACAGTAATCAGTCGATAAAAACATATCAATAGAAACAGTCTTTCATAGAGGTGCTACCAGAACTATAAGAAAATTCGTTGCATTAAAACTACAGTATCTCTTCAGAGAAAATCGTTGAAGCTTGAGAATAAGTTCCTGAGTGAAAATAACGGGCATTTTGAAAAGAAAAAAAAAAGTTTTGAGATTTCACAGGAGAATTCGTGGAAGGAAGCGGAACTTCCGTGATTTCTTCGTCATTTCGATAGTTTATTCATGTACAAATACAATTTTTAAAACTGAAATGCCTCAAGAAACTCTCATGAATAATACCCTAAAATGAAGAAAAAAACCTCCTTTCGTCACCCGCAAGTTGCTTCAAATCAAGTCCCTGTTGTGAAATCATCTCTAAATTTTACGTGACTGATTGCGCAGGCCAATATTTTTTATCATTCTTGAAGAAAAAAAAAATTAGGGGGGGGGGGTTCGAACGCATTCAATTTTGATTTCAGTTCGTAAACTGAATTACGACGAAGTTCCATTCCATGATATCAAAGGACAATTGCAGCTAGTCAAGTTGGCGTTGTCTTAAAAAAAAATAAAAACCAGGGTCGGAATAGTTTGCTGCTTAATTTCTTCGGGGTAAATGTGCATGATGAACTCACGGAGCTCGAGCCTGTTGCCGCAGTCGACGTTGAAGGGGTAGTCGCATCGCTCGACCCCGCCACGGGTGTCGTCGAACACGAGTCCGTCGGGACACAGGCGCTCGGTGGGCCCGTTGTCAGTACACTCGTAGTACTTGTCGCACTGGTACGGGTCCGGCAAAAAGTCCCGGTTCGACTTGCACTCCACTGGAGCGTCCCGTTGGTCCTGGTCTGATGACTTGCCTTGTCCCGCTGTTGATGCGAAATGAACGAAAATCCAAACGAACATTAAATAAAATCAAATTTCAATTTCGCAACGCATATCCCACCCAAAATTATATTTTTATTTATTCTTTCATCAAAATCAACCCGAAGTCTCATAATAAAAAGAAGTATGTGCGACGAACGCGATAACTTACTCGCCACGAGGGTTCGCGCCGAAATCGCATCAGAAAAACTCGTCAAAATCATGCCAGACTGTCAGTAAGCTTTTCGAAAAATTTAGAAAAGTTGATGCGACTTTGATTTTGAATGAATGTATTTGACTTGCGAATTTTGAGAGCTTTTTGGAAGAATTCACGAACCTGCTGTGGCGATGACGGCGAAAAGGATGACTAACCCGCACTGCATCTCTTTTTCGTTGCTTAACGAGCACTCACTTCACAACGAATCGAAAGAAACGGCCAAATAAATGTCTGAAGAAAAGGCAAACAGTTGATTTGCATGATCAACATTTTCCCGAAATGTTCGTAGTGCAAGATAAAACCTTTTTTTTTCAAGAAGGAAACGCAAATGCGAGTATCATGAGACTGAGTATTTCTCTCCTATGAAAAAAAGAATATGCTTTGATTTTGAGCTAGAGCTTTCCTAAATTCGGATTGCAACCAGTAAAAAAAAAATCATCACGACGAGAGAAAAAATTAATACGTGAAAATGCTGTGGATATTGAAACGGAAAAGTATTTCAAAAATCTGGTTATTGATTACAATTCTCGTCCAATATATTCGGATGAAGAGACGGCGTCAATCGAGGCTCGTCTCGATCCTAGCAAAGTCAATGTCAAGGTTCGTATACGCTTTCGCTAACAAACGAAAAAAAAGTATCAACATTTTTTCCAAACCTCTCAAGTTCGTTGACGAGGAGTAGGTTTTGTAAAAAAAAAAAAAAGTCCAACGTAAAAAATGGAATCACAGCCCAGAATAAGAGGATCTTGACGAGCCGAGACTCGATTGTGGAGTGCCGTTCGTGGCACGGGAAACACTGACGATTAACTTGTTGGGCGTGCGAGACCCAAGGCGGGCTTTTTACCTGCGAGACCGGAATTCGGCCGACCAGGGTTGCCAGCGGGGCGAAAAGAGGAAAGGGACTGCTGGTGGACGAAAAAGTAAGTAAAATGAATGGAGAACAGAGCGAAAAACAAACAAAACAAAAAAGAACCGACACACCCAACCTAACCCATGTGTCGGGTCCACTGCTGGTTCGAGTTTCCCAATACCGTACAGCAGGCGATTGTGGTTTTTGATAGTTCGTTCCGGGAAGGAATGAATGAATGAATGAATGAATATTCGCACTTATGTATACGGGCTGCTTGTAATATTACAAGATCAAATTACGAAACATTCCTTAATTTCACGTTGATTTATGAATCACGCAAAAAAAAAAAGTCCCATAAACCGTCGTAACTCGTTCAACCCGACCAGCATTCTCTAGAGGCTTTTAATTTAAAGAATACATACAATCTCAGCAATTTAATTACGATTGGGATAATTCCAGGTTACATATATTGACTTCACAACAGCAAGATAAAGAGGATTCCTTCGTGAGGCAAGATAACTTTAGCGAAAACATTATCTTCCAATATTATGCGAACATATTTTCGCCCTATGAAATCATAGACAGTGGTTCTTTCAAAAATCTACTATAGCGAGACTATAATTCTTCACATTTGTAACATCATAAAACTGATTGTTATTTCGTACATTGCGTTATGCGATGTATTTGGGCCTTTTGGAAGAACTAATTGCAGGGAAAATATAGATTTACATTCAGAAAAACAAAAAAGTAATCATATTTCTGGAATTTTTCTAAAACGTTTTGATAAGTATGAAATCTTTAATATACCGGAGTATATCGGATGAAACTACTTGAAGCGAAGGTTAAAAAATCTGTAAATATGCTTGTAAGGACGTTGTCATCGGCAATTGAAGCCAGTAACACAATTAATATACACTGCAGCATTTTATCCTGAAAAAATTATATAGAAAAATATTGAAGCTTTTTCCGCATATCAACCGATTAAATCTTCATGATGCGAATTCACTTTGTCTTGCGTGGCTTGGCTCTCTTACGTTTTCAAAATTGTTGGTTCTTCTACCATCGCGGGCTCATAGAATTGTTTTGAAACCTTGACAGAACCTGATAGCGAAGAAAAGTTGAATTAATTCCAAGGAAATGCCACGCCGAAAAATTCAGTTTCAATAAGTTAGTACTTCACCACGAATCAAGAGTTCCGTTACTTGCATTAACGTTTCACTTCTGTCGTCTCATCGACGGTGATATGATAAAAATAAAAGTTGAAAATATTAAACCTGCTTCGTTAAAAATCGAAAAAAACTCTGTTCCTATTCTTTTCTTCTTCTTTTTTTTTTTTTATCTCGCGGTGCACAAACCGAATCACGTGGGCAGTCTTTTCACGCGGTCTTTTCTATAATTAACACGGAAGACCGTAAAATCGTCGTCAGCTGCAATTAAAATCAGCAACACTTGGCTATAGCAAGTCTCGGTTAATTAGTGTTTGCCATGGAGAAGCCACGAATAAAAGAGAAAAAAAAGGACCTCAACAATCGTACAGCTATATACAGTATAGCCAACTTACAACATACAAATTTACCGATGAGAAAGGAGCCCCATCAGCGCCAGCGTTGCCTCGTGGTTCACTGGCGCCGTGGTTCACTGCTGCGGAGCGCCTCCAGGAAGCCGCCTTTTTATGCTTTGCCGCCCCGTGCAAGTGTTACACGAGAAACCGCGTTGCGCATTCTTCAATTAAACACACTCGATGAAGGAAATCTCTGGGTTGATTTAAACGCGTATTTCCGGACCTTCCGGAGGAAACGCGGGCAAGGGTCGGATTATTCGGTTAAAACAGAGAAGGCGTTGGTAATTAAGAGGAACCTCTCTTATTAAAATGGAATCAAGAACGAGTGTGTCACGGACGATCTCTATTTGGCAAGCTGATGCGGTTCATACAGGGATATCCGTCCATGTCAGAGTTAACAAATTATTTTCTACTGCACAAAAAGGTCTGGGCTGCAAAAGTTATGTTCTGCTTAGCAACTGCTGTTATTCAACAAGACACGAGCGGAATGAAAAACTTGAACTTGAAACGAAAAATCCCAGAATAATGAAGCTTCAGTTTTGCTCAGATTTTCTGAAAATTTTCAAACTTATAAAATCAAATTATGGTAATCACATGCTGATAAGTTTTCTTGGAAGAAGGTAACACCATTGATGTAAGAGGTACAAAATGTCTTCCGTTTTTAAATTTAGGAAACAAAAATCCATTGAATTAAATTTTTTGGTTGTTGCCATTTTAAAGTGGGCATATTTCTGCGCACACAATCAATCGCAAAAAAAATCTTGTAGCAGATGACTACAAAGTAACAGTGTATTCCAACAAAAAAATCTTGCAATCGATGCTCCTACAATTATACCACCTTGTTAAAATTAATCATTAAAAAGTATTCCGAGTTTTCACTTGATTGCAATTTAAGTTTTAAATTTTGTGTGTGTTAGGTTCAGATCATGCTTCAAATGAAATGTAACGAGGGTTGATCCCGTCTGAAAATCCGTGAGAAAAAATGAGGCCTGGTCATTTCCTGCTCGCAATTTCAGAAATTTAGATTTTGTAATAACCCTTCAGTTCATTTCCATTGCATAATGCAGATAATATTGGAAAGATATGTTGAAATTTAATGATCACGGCTGACGATTCGTAATTTTTTCTCTCCATCAAATTGATTGAACATATATGATCTTTCAGATCCTCGTAACGCAGCATCCTTTTCCCGGAAGTAGAAAAATTGATACTCGGATGTTGAAATGTGGAGAATCTGGAATATACGTTCTTTGTACAGTATATAGGCTTTTCGACATTTTCCACCGAAAATGAGAAAGGATCCAGTACTGCTTTTTCATTATTCATATGAATGACTCCTCATTGTCCGGCCACTCCATAAATTAGCATTTTGTGGGACTATCGTAATATCCCATTTTCCAGAATCTTTTTGGGCGGAAAGGGGACCTACAAATTTCCATGAATTTTTTTTGGACTGGGAAACTTTCAAAAAATGTTCTGCAGATCAGTAAGGTTGCATAACATTTTTGCAGACTCAAGAAAACGTTTGGTTGAAAGACTTTATGGCAGGGATTTGGAAGTTTCTACTGTTCAAAAATTAAGTGAAGAACCAATAAAGCAGCTGTGTAGGGAAATTTCTTCAAAAATTAGAAAAGGTGGGCTTGAAAAAGTTTCTAAGAATAAATATTCAAATAATTTATTTCAGCATGTCAAAATTTGTCTGAAGTGATATTAGGAGAAAAGCCAACTTGTATTTTCCATTAAATAATATCAACTGCCATTTTGCCTTTCAGATAAAGACAGCAGACTTCAAAGCTACTTTTCAATCAATTTTTTAGGAGAATGACAATTTTATGCGGACCAGCAAAAGAAAAAAGCTGCGGACTGGCCCAGGCCTGTTAGGAACCAGAACTTGGGCCCAGGGACATTAGGTTTCAGGACCTGGATTCTGGTCCCCTTTTCCTTCATGCATCCATTCATCCATTCCCCAGATGCATGACTTCTTCAATGCACATTTGTTCTGCCAATCACAGGCATGGAAAAAAGTCCAATGCTTTGGGCAGGTCAGCTGACAGAAGCATTGTGCTAAGTTGCATAAAAACCCAGCACTCTTCCACTTCCAATAATCAGTCCTTAAAATTAGCTCTTACAGTAAACAGCTGTCAAAACATTACAACCCCAATTCTTCCGATTGAATTGCTGCATTGCATTATTGCACCCAACATTTGTGTGCACAAATTTATTGTCTTCATTGAATGTGTGTTGCATTATTGCATTTATTGTGATTTATTATTTTTGTATTGGGTTTGATTGTGATTTATTATTTTTGTATTGTGTTTGATTGTGATTTATTATTTTTGTATTGTGTTTGATCATGATTCATTATTAACATGTTTTTATTAACTTGCTTTCTTGTCCGTTTGTTTGTCTGGATCAAATTTTGCAAC